TGGAGCTTCAGGCTGCCTGGAGAGGCTCAGAAGATCGATCGAATGATGGAGGCCTTTGCTTCTCGCTACTGCCTGTGCAACCCAGGCGTCTTCCAGTCCACAGGTCAGTGAGCCGGCGCCCCGCCTGGCCCTCGCATCTGCTTCAGGACAAAGGCCTGTGGCACAGGCCAGCCTATTCCTGAGACCTTCTTTCCCTTTCCCAGCACAGTCTTGCCTAGGGTGCAGGGAGCCACTGAGCGAGCACAGATTTCTGCCTTGTTTTTTCTCCATGGACTCCACACGCCTTGTCCAAGCCCCAGCAGAGCTCAAACTGTTGAGTCCCCGCTGTCCTCTGCTTTGTTGCAGACACATGTTATGTGCTGTCGTTCGCCATCATCATGCTCAACACCAGCCTGCACAACCACAACGTGCGCGACAAGCCCACCGTGGAGCGGTTCATCACCATGAACCGTGGCATCAACGAGGGGGGGGACCTCCCTGAGGAGCTGCTGAGGGTGCGTCTGTGGGACCGAGCTTTTGAGCCTCCTCGTGGTGGGGCTGTTTCCTCTCCTTCCTTGTTGCTCCTTAGTTTAATTTTATTTTTTTGTACTGGGAATCAAACTCATGACCTCATCCTTAACTCTTGGAATTTTAAAACTTCTCCAAGTTTTCTGCAGATTTGCACTGCTGGTTTATTCTTCTTTTCTTTGCAGTATTGGGAATCAATCCAGGAGCACTCTCCCACTGAGCTACATCCCAGCTCTTTTTATGATTATTATTTTTTAATCTTGAGACAAGGTCTCACTGAGTTGCTTTTGCAGGACTCAAAACTTTGATGCTACTGCCTCAGCTTCCCAGAGTGCTGGAATTACGGACATGGCCACGAGGCCCAGTTGATTTATTTACTGTAAATGCATCTGTCAATTATAACTTGTTTCCCAGTCCTGCTGCTTTTTGTTGTTGTTGTTTTTGTTTTTTTGAGACAAGGTCTCACTATATAGTTCAGGTTGCCCCTGAACTCACCATGTGGACCAGGCTGGCCTTGAACTTGCAGCAGTCCTTCTACCCAAGTCTCCCAAATGCTGGGATTATAGGCATGTGCCACATACCTGGCTAGTCCTGCTGTTCTTTATGCTTATCCTGCACTGGAAAGAGACCAGAGAAAAAATGATTCTGTGAGTTTTTGAATTTTCTATCTTTCCCCTTACAGAACTTATATGAAAGTATTAAGAATGAACCATTTAAAATCCCGGAGGATGATGGGAATGACCTGACACACACGTTCTTTAACCCAGATCGGGAAGGCTGGCTTCTGAAGCTGGGTGAGCCTAGTGTGTATGCCCCGCCCACAGCCCCCAAGCCCACCCGGCAGCTACCTGGTCTCCCTCCCACTCCTTGTAGCGGAGGCCCCTAAGCACAAGGTAGAAATGTAAAAAAAGAGTGCAGCTGAGCCAAAGTCTGCTCTAAGCAGCCACCCATCCCAGCACCAATGGCTGCTTCCTTGAATAGTGGCCTTTCAAAGCAAGCCACATGTTCAGTGTCCACGGCAGGGACTTTACAACCCGTCCCAGAAAACTGCCGAGTTAGCGTCCACCTAAATGCAGGGCAGTTTTCTCTACAAGAAGCAAGTACACTTACCTCCAAAGGACCTGTGTGCCTTTCTCTTGGTTTGGCGTGGCTGTGGTTTTTGATGAGTGGTTTAAATGTGCCTTCTTGTTGTTTTCCTTCTGCCTGTGGCTCCCACCTTTCTGTTCTGTGACGGGCTGTCCCTGCTTGTCCTGCGTTAGGAGGTAGGTACCCAGTGGCTTCCTCCCCTCCCC